TTTGGGGGGGCACCAGGAACCCCCGGGGCTGGGGCAGGAGCCGGCTTGCCAGGGGCAGGGGCTGCCGGGGGGGCAGCTGGAGGAGCTGGTGTGGATGCCCCAGGGCTCTGAGGAGGTGTTTTGGCTGCAGGGGGGGCAGCTGGAGCTGGTGTAGCCGCTGGCACTGGGGCGGCAGGAGTAGGGGGTGCAGCACCAGGGCTGCCCTTGGGAGGCTTTTTGGCTGCGGGGGGGGCAGCTGGAGCTGGTGCAGCCGCTGGCACCGGAGTGGCAGCACCAGGGCTGCCCTTGGGAGGCTTTTTGGCTGCAGGGGGGGCGGCTGGAGCTGCAGGCACTGGTGGGGCTGGTGCCGAGGGAGCAGCAACGGGGCTCTTGGGACCTGCTTTGGCTGCAGGAGGGGCAGCAGGAGCTGGTGGAGATGCCATTGCTGGTGTAGCAGGGGTAGGGGGGGCAGCGACCGGGCTCAGGGGAGCCTCTTTGGCTGCAGAAGGGGCAGCTGGAGCTGGTGGAGCTGGAGCTGGGGCAGAGCCTGGGCTCACAGGAGCCACTTTGGCTGCAGAAGGGGCAGCTGGAGCTGGTGGAGCTGGGGCAGAGGGAGAAGATGGGGCAGGGACTGGGCTCACAGGAGCTGCTTTGGCTGCAGGAGGTGCAGCTGGAGCAGAGACTGGGCTCACGGGAGCCACTTTGGCTGCAGAAGGAGCAGCTGGAGCTGGGGCAGAGGGAGATGGGGCAGAGACCGGGCTCACAGGAGCCACCTTGGCTGCAGAAGGGGCAGCTGGAGCTGGTGGAGCTGGAGCTGGGGCAGAAACTGGGCTCACAGGAGCCACCTTGGCAGCTGGAGCTGGTGGAGCTGGGGCAGAGGGAGAAGATGGGGCAGGGACTGGGCTCACGGGACCTGCTTTGGCTGCAGGAGGGACAGCTGGAGCTGGGGCAGAGGGAGGAACCGGGGCAGTGACCGGGCTCACAGGAGCTGCTTTTGCTGCAGGAGGGGCAGCTGGAGGAGTGACCGGGCTCACAGGAGCTGCTTTTGCTGCAGGAGGTGCCACCGGAGGTGTGACAGGCAGGGAGGTGGCAGGGGCAGAGGGGGCAGCAGGCACAGGAGCTACTGGAGGGGAGACTGGGCTTGTTGGAGCTGCTTTGGCTGGTACTGGGGCAGCACTGGGAGCTGCTGGTGGCACTGGGAGAGAGGCGGCAGCTCCTGGAGAGGGTTTGGCCAGGGAAGGAGCCATGGGAGCTGCCCGAGGATCTGGGCTCCCAGGAGGGGTCCTGGTCACAGAGGGAGGGACAGGATCTCCTGCAGCTGGAGCAGGGCCAGTGGGACCGGTCTTAGCAACAGAAGGAGCAACTGGAACCAGTGGAGAGACTGGAGCACCAGGAGCTGGGCCCTGGGGGGTGGCAGCAGGACTCCCAGGAGGCATCCCAGCCAGCACCAGAGGGGCAGGGGGTGATAATGGGGCCATGGGGGCAGCCAGGAAGACAGGAGGAGAGATGGCACCGTCCGGGGCTGGGCACTGGGGAGGAGCAATGGGGGGCACAGGAGAGGCCGAAGCAGAAGCCAGGGGGGCAGTGCTGCCAGGAGACACCGGTACTGCTGGGGTGGGCACCGATGGTGCTGTCACAGGACAGAGAGGGGGAGAACCCGGGCTCTGGGGACAAGCTGCAGCCTTGGGGGGTGCAGTGGGAGCCGGCAGGAGAGGGGGGGCTGCCCCAAGGGGAAGGGAAAGGGGGGGTAGGAGAGCAGCCGGGGCTGCCCCAGCACCCTGGGCTGGAGCAGGGGCAGCCGAGGCTGCCAGAGGGGCAGGGAGAGGGGCTTGGGGCAGCCCCACGGGGCTCTGAGGGGCAGCAGAGGGGGCAGCTTTCACAGGAGAGGTGAGAGCTGCAGGGGGAGAACCGGGGCTGACGGGGGGAGCGACGGGGGCCACCATCACTGCAGCAGGAGCAGCACCCAGAACGGGAGACACTGGGAGTCCTGGTGACACTGGGCTAACTGGGATGGGCCCTGGAGATCCCGGGGCTGCAAAACCCATCGGGGACTGAGGAACCGGAGGAGGGGAAATGGTAACTGGGACCTGCAGAGCTGGGGAGGGGAGCTGGGGGGGCCCAGAAAACACAGGGATCGCCGCAGCTGGGACCACTGGGGGGGAAACGGGGGCTGGGGGGCCAGCAGGGCTGGGCAGCTCCACTGGGAGAGCCTGACCCACGGGGCCCGGAGATGGAGTCAGAGGTGGGGAATGAGCAGCATGAAGAAGAGCTAAAGGAGAGAAACAGAGTGAACTGATGAGAGAATGGAGATGGGGGGGGGGGGACCCT